TTGCATGGAAATAAATGTTGCCTATATTTCCCAAACTCAAGAAACATGAGCCATAGCTGTGTGTACAGAGCTGAAGTCAGAGTAGGGTTACTGCAATGCTATAGAGGCCACTCCCCCCAAAGTAGCCATTTTCTCCAAGGAAACTGTTTCTGCAGTCTGTATATCAGTTGTAATTCAGGCCTTTTTGGTCATGGCACCAAAATTTTGGAATACCCTTTCCAGGGTGATTTGTCTGTCTCCCTCTGTCATTGTCTTCCACCAACAGGTGAAGACACTTCGTTTCATTTGGCTTACCTCCAGTACACCTCTACCGGTCCTCCTCCGTGGATGTGTTGTGTTTGTATGTCTATATGTTTTTATTGTATTGTTAAATATTTTTCATATACATTTTAAATGCTGTTTTAAATGTGTTAATGCCTTGATGTTCACCACCTTTGCAACCCTATGTGTGTAGAAAGTCAGCACAGGAATGTATTTAATAAATAAATAAAATCTCCAGACCCCACCTGGGAATTGGTAACCCTAAGCTGGATTCTCTGCAGTAGTGCCAATCATCAGGTGGTGGGGTCAGAGCGGAATAGTAGTTTCTTTAAGCCATTTGATTTCAATTTGCATTTTTAATATTTGGTTTGAAAGACATGCTAATGTTTTATTGACTATTATAGCCGGGCTGAATCCAAAGACTTCTGCTAAGTGAGAGTTCAAAAGCTTTCTACATTGGTAGAAAGACTGTTGCCCAGATGAAAAGTATTTAGATCCAGCTGATTATGTTATCATTGGATGTTACATTACACATGGACAGTTAGGTTTGAGTCCAATACCATCCTAGAGACCAACAAGAGTTTCAGGGTATAAGCTTACGTGAGTCAAAGCTCCCTTTGTCAGATACTGAAGAAGGGAGCTTTGACTCTCAAAAGCTTATACCCTGAAACCCTTAATGGTCTCTAAGGTACTCCTAGGCTCAAATCTAACTGTTGTGCTGCAGACCATCATGGCTACCCTTTGAAACTATACACATGGGACTTCCGGTTTGTGGATTGGCGATGGCGGTCGCTCTTCCCTGACCTCGGGGGAGTGATTAGCACACCAGGAGTATGGAGGGGTGCTACCTCAAGTGGCATCCCCATGGAGCCTTTGCAATAGGCTCCATGCCAGAGGGCTTTTGAGGGGTAGCCTCTTCGATGGCTCGATGCTGGAGAATCGAGGCTTTCCTCCACCCTGATGGTCCTGCTGCTGTGTGGCCCTCAGGCACAAGCTGATTCGACCGGGACAAGAGCTGGAGATCGAGCGGAGTATCGAATGTTCTGAGCGAGGTCAGAGAAATGACCAACAATGAATGCGAGTTCAAAATAAATGGAACATTTTAAAAGCAAACTATCCCCCCTGTGGGAAAAGTGGAGCGCAAAGAGGGACACCTCTTATGCGAAAGGACAGATAAGCGTAACGAAGGGGCGGGGGGGAAACAAGCAGCGATTTTGTTTTGAGAGACTTACTTGAACGCTGACATTGAGGTGACGATTTTTCGAGCCTGTGAGAAGTGGTTTGGAATTTTAAACAATCGTTTAAAATGGCGGCCTTGCAAAGAAAGTTTAAAACGAAACTGGCGGGTAGTCAGAGCCCAAAACCGGAAGAGGGAGCAGACATCATGAAAATGTTAGCGGATATGCTTAAGCCGGTGATGGAGCAACTCAATGGTATTAACCAGCAACTGACTTCAATGAATCAAAACTTCGCATCACAGCAGCTCCAACTGGCAGAAACGGAGAAGAAGGTGGAGCATGCGACTGAGAGAATTAAAGAGATAGACACCACAAACAAGAAAATGAAGAAAAGAATGGGGGAAGTTGAAACAAAACAAAACTTTCAAGAAAACCGATTCAGAAACTTACTTGAGCGCTGACATTGAGACGACGATTTTCCGAGCCCATGAGAAGCGGTTTGGAATTGTAAACAATCGTTTAAAATGGCAGCCTCACAAAGAAAGTTTAAAACAAAACCGGCGGGTAGTCAGAGCCCAAAACTGGAAGAGGGAGCAGACGTCATGAAAATGTTAGCGGATATGCTTAAGTCGGTGATGGAGCAACTCAGTGGTATTAACCAGCAACTGACTTGGATCAATCAAAAACTTTGTAGCACAGCAGCTCCAACTGGCAGAAATGGAGAAGAAGGTGGAGCATGTGACTGAGAGAATTAAAGAGATAGACACCACAAATAAGAAAATGAAGAAAAGAATGGGGGAAGTTGAAACAAAACAAAACTTCAAAGAAAACCGTTTGTTACAGCTACAAATGGAAAAAGCCAATATGATTATCAGATTCCAGGGAGTTCCTGAATCAGAAAAGGAAGATCTGAGGAAGTTACTCAGCGTATTGCTCTAGCAATAGGCTCAACAGCGGATGAAGTAGAAAAAGAGATGGAGACTGCCTACAGGGCTTACTCCAGTTACATTTAAAAAAATAGCCTGCCCGGAGAAATTGTGGTCAGATTCTCAAGAAGACAGACCAGAGATGCTATTTTAAAAGCGACTTCAGGAACTCCACTGAAACTGGGGGATACAATCATTAAGAGCTTAAAAGACATTCCATTTGAAATTCACCAAAAGAGGAAAAGCTATAAGGACTTAATTTCATACAGGTGGGTGATCCCTGAGGGTGTCATCTTTAAAATCAACGACAAAAGAGAAAAGATTGACTCCATTTTTAAAGTCAAGGAATTTTTGAAATGTCAGTTGGGATCGGAGGAAGAATCCAAAGACCTCTGGAACGGATGAGGACTCTGCTGTAGAAACGGATGCGGGTGCAACAAAAGTTACATATGATTTCAGAGATAGAAAACTGAAGTAAAGGAAGAAGGACTTTGAAAATGGCCTTGTGAAGTAAATAACAAGAAGATGCTCAGAAAGTTCTCTCGTAACAACTAACATATTAACACTGAAACTGAGACAAACAAGAACGCTACAAGTATATTGTTGTACTAACACTCTAATTATTAACACTTAGTTTAACACGGATATGATCTCCTCCTCTTGGGTTTTTAGTTTAGTGTGGTTATCTTTCCTTTATCCATAGATGTAGTCCCTTTCCCTCATATTTTCTTTGTAGTTTTTTTAGTCTTATAAAAACAATAAAAATATTCCTCTGGGGGTTTCAAAAAAGAAGAAGAAAGAAACTATGCACATGCACAGGCTTTTTTGTATTGAGTTAATGCAAAACAATTATTTTTGTAAGGTAGCATCTAAAATCGACTTGGGTTTGATGCAGAAACAATTTTCCATCACCAGAACATAAATCTTCAACTTCCACTCTCCCATTTCAGCCCACTGATCTACACAGTATGGTGCTCCTGAAATGTAGGGGATAGAGGGACCCTGAGATCATCCAGCAGCTGCAAGCGGAGGAGTGGGGAATCAAACCCGGTTCTCCCAGATTAGAGTTCATGCACTTAACCACTACACCAAACTGGCTCTCTAATATGCCCTCTAATCCTCAAATGACAGCAGGAATTTTTCTTTGTGCCTGGAGTGGGGACCAGCCTATGGGGGGGGGGGGACAACACAGAAACACCATGCTGTGAAGAATCAGGCCACACCTTTATTAATTACAGGCTCCTCAGGTCTTGGTACAGCATAGGCTGGGGACAATGGGTGCAGTTGACAGCTCAACTGCAGTCTGCATCTACTCCAACCAGCCTGTTGGGATAACTGAGGGAAGAGGGCTGGTATTAGGGCTGGAAGCAGCAGAAACAATGTTAGGCTCAATGTTAACCAGCAACTCCCTGCAGACATAACAAAGGATGAGTAGCCACACTGAAATAAACTCTGAAGCCATGGGATGGAAGGGTTGGTTTTTGCTGGGATAGAGCTCCTGAATGCCCAATACACCTTCAACCCATTCATTTTCAGCCTGAGCTATGGACCAGAAAGAAACCTGTAGCCCTTTGGTCCACCAGCCCCCCACCCCTTTCCAGTGATCAGCTGGCTCCTGGAGATTAGGGCTGCAGGAAGCTGCTTGAGAGCCACTGGGCAGACATCCAATGCTGGGCCCGACTGCTCAGTTATCCTTGTCCCCCCACCCCTGTCACAAATGATTCTCCAGCTTAAGGCTGAGAGCTAGACTTCCTGAATCACAAGGCATGTTTTAGAATTTTAGAGTATTGGTTGAAAGGTACAGGGTAGAGAGATTGTAAAGGCCACTATTAAATGTTGCAGATTCAGCAGAACACGGTATCTTATCAACTACTAGAAGTCGTGTAATTTTCCTAAAGCATAGCAGTTTCATACAAGATAAATGGCTTTCAGTCAGAGTTGTCTAAGATAGGGTTAGCAGAGCTACGATATGCATCATTTTGACATGTATATTCTGATACTACTTTAGTCTCTAGGATTAGGCTATGGATATTGAAGAAATATATGTCTGATGCATACACTTTGGCAAGAGCTATGTTATAAATATTAATTATCTGCATTTTTGCCCTTGTTTTGCCCTTGGATCTTTGATTTTCTGTTTGTGTGTGTGTGTGGCAGCATTACAGGTGTGGAGTTCACTATATAGGATGTGAGAATACATCATCTTTCAAAAAGAAATGTGCAGTTTAAAAGTACTTGATTCTGAAGATGACAATCAC